GACACCCCCTGCGGGCGCGCGCGGCCGCCACGGTCTGGCAGAGCAGGGCCGAGCCCAGCCCTGCCCGCCGCACCTGCCTCCTCACACCCGCCATTTCGGGCCGTGCCGGCAGACGCCCAGCGCCGGACTTTGTCCTCACAGCCCCGCCGCTGAGCCTGGCTCCTTCCCCCCACCCTGTCCCCAGAGGGGTCCCTGACACTCACCCGTTACACAACGGGGCCATGTGCCAAGCAAAGGGAGAGAGCGGGGCCACTGGTTGAGCATTAACCTGGCACTGCTCACCTCGAAACCAGTCATGCCAGGGCCAGCTTCACTGGAAGTCCCCAAGGGATAAATATATCTATCTTTGTTTGTCTTTCAAAAGAAAACTCTGGGTGTAATCACATGCCTTCCCACACAGCTATCCATCTCAGAAACTGTCTACAGACTTCACAGAATTTCGTCAGGGATTCTGAAAACCAGCCCTCACACGGAAGTCGGTAGACACCCCAGCCTGTGCAGAGGTGCTCCCACGGCCACGCAGCCCCCAGGGTCTCCCATGGGTGAGGAAACCCACAGACACATTTGCTGGCATCACCTCATAGGAAGTCTGCAGGAGCTGGACATGTCTGAAAGGGAATGGCTGAAATACACCACGGAAACAATTTTATGACACAGGGAGACAGATTTTACTGCTCAGAAGTCCCAGAGTCTTTCATCAGACAGACTTGGAATGCAAGGCAGCACATTGGCCTCCTGCTCTGAATACCTGAGAGGCTGCAGCCAACCTCCCCGAAGGAACAAAACAGGGAGCTTCTTCCAAGGTCCATGCCCAGGGTCATCACAGCACCGGGGGAGCTGTTCCCACAGGGAAAAAGCGTGAAGCCTGGACAGGAGCTGCCCCTTGGCACACCAGTGGGCGATGCCCTTCCAGCGGAGGCAGGAGCTGACACTGCCCTCTTTTGGGCTCGCCCACACACAGCACTGAGCTTCCCGCTAGAAACAGCCCACCAAAAGAGTCACGGCAGACACAGTATGAAACCAAAGCTCTTCTTTTAACCCCAGCCTGGGGCAAGCCTGAAAGACAAATGGTCTCCAACCTCTCCCCTCCATATCTTTCGCTGTATAGCGAAAAGATCAAATACTGACATTTCTCTATAGTGGCAGCAGCAGTGTGAGCTGGACACAGAACAGGACCCTATCTGACCTGGCTGATAGTAGGGAGATGCTCTGCAGAAAGAGAGCAGCTCCACATCCTTGTCTCTTGCTACTCACAGCATGCTCAAAACCTCCTGACAATCAGGCAGTGCTATTTCCAACCGTGTGAGACACTCTCCCTTTAGCAACAGCTTCCCACGCCACCTTCTTCCTCTTTCCCATAAGACGTCCATGGCTTTTATAGAGATTTTTTTTTTTCCTTTTTTAAAAAAACAGCATGACCAGCGACCATCGGATGGCTCAAACCAACAGTGCTGACTGCAGCACATATAGCAGGGAGAACAAAATCTGCTAGAAACACACATTTCTCCAGCCACCAACTCAAACTTAGAAGTAGCCTGAGTTGAGGCCATCCATGAATACCCAGATGCTGAGCAGGCAAGAGTGTGACAGCCCGCAGCACTCAGAGCTGCGCTGGAGAACAGTCCCTGGTTGAACATTGGGGTCTTCGAGGCTCTGAAATGCACAGCTCCACTGGCCCCTACCTCAAGGGGAAGGAGAAGTATTTGTTCCCTGACTTGCAGCGGATTTGTTCCCATTGGACACGCAGCAGAAGCGCTGAGTCCTCAAACCCATCCACGATGTCCTGTAAAAAGATGCAGGGACTAGTACCAGGAGGGTGCATCTGCCAGAGGACAGAGTCAGTAGCTCCCTCTCTGAATCAAGTCAGAGACAAGACTGTGGCTGGAAGCCCCTGACTTCCCTCTGGAGGCTAATTTAACTCACGCTCCTGCCAAAAGCTTCTCTTCATTGGCCCAGGCTGCCCAGGGAGATGGTTGAATCCCCATCCCTGGAGGCATTTAAAAGCCATGTATATGTGGTGCTGAGGGATGTGGCTTAAGCACTGGACTTGACAGAGCTGGGTTAATTGTTGGTAGAGTTGGGTTATGGTTGGACTTCATGATCTTACAGGTCTTTTCCAACCAGAATGACTCTGTGATTCTTCCAACTCAGGGAAGTTTGTCTTGCTCAGTGAAGAGAATTTCCCACTCTTTGCCCTTGGCCGGAAGAGGTGGCTGGACACCAGCTCTGTTCCTCCCCTGCTTTTCATGCTCTGTGGGGACCCACCTGTAGCTCCCGCAGACACTGCCCTTCCAGTTGGCCAGACAGGTCCCCGACACACCAGGCCAAGCTGATATGGAATGACGGGTCCTGAAGACAAACCAGTGAGCAGACGGTGAGGGTTAAAGGAGGGTTGGCAGCCACAGAAGGAGATTTGGTGGGATGCTACCCTGCCTGGGGTCACAGAGGCAGAGGGATTCCAAAGCTGGGAGCCCCCTCTGCCAGCTCAACAGTTGAGGAGTTTATATGGACAGCAGTGGAGATGAGTTTTGGGCTCCCCACCACAGCTTTTCTGGACACTGGCCAAGGCTGCTTGGTTCCTAGCCTCCCTGTGGTCAGCTCTGAAGAAGCTTTTTCAGCAGCACAGAGAACTTCTCACAGATGGTCCTGAAGTGGGTAGATCACTCCTGAATAACCTACAAGAGCCCCCTGCTCAACTCTGGAGACACAGAAATCAGGATTTGGCCCTTCAAAATCCAAAATCAATCCCTAAAGCTAGCACTAAAAAAAAAGAGACTGGATGGATGCCCCAGGAAACTCTCCAAGGAGAAGGCACAAGCATTACCCTCAGTCCCATAGTGATCACCCTAAGCTCATTCTATTCTAGGACAACTTTGCTTTGTGAAGAGCAGGGCAGAGACCATAATGTGTGTTCTGACCCTTTGCCCTAGCAACACTATTCTCAAGAGGCTACCAGGCAGTTAACATCCTTAGTCTCCTGCACAGGACACGATACAGAAGCCAGACTTGCACTAGTCCCATTCTCAGCAAGATCATGTTCAGGGCGTTAGTGTGAACATCACTGACCAGCCCTGAGGAGGCCGTTTCAGAGTCTAAGCTCCTGTTTATTTGGGGTGAACATATCATGGACCTCGAGTGGGGAATAAGCCAGCATGTCTGGACTGGCAAGGAATTAAGTGGGAGAACCCTCACCTTGTAGAATGTGGGAAGGTTAAATTCCTCCAGAACTCGGTCCACCTCTGAGACCAGCTCCAGCAGCTGGAAATGTCCAGTAGAGACCTCCAAGCCAATAAAGGTCCTACAGAAAGACAAGGAGAGACAGCAAGAGCCCTTTCACGCTGCAGAAAGTACAGCCATACGCAGCCCTGCTTTCCTACCAGGAAAATTCCCTCCTCCCTGACAAAAGATAATTTGAGGAATGTGAGGTTTAAGCCTTCAAGGATACTGATCATCCTTGAAAAAAAAAAAAAAAAGAACGTCTTGAAGAAAAATAAAGACGTTGTAGCAGGAAGACACAGAACTAGATGATACATCATGCAGATTTACTAGATTAACTCAGCACCTTTTGGGACATGAAAACTCATTTTCCAGGCAACGGGTGCCCCCAGAGGGTGTTCCAGCAGAGCACCATGCCGGGCCTGCGGGAGCCCTGCTCAAAAAGCGGAAGTTGCCGGAGGGGTTTTACGGTGGGAAAGGAAGTGGGAACGGGAAGTACCAGGCTGGGCTGACTGATCGAGGGGTTCCTCCTCAGAGAGTGGATGATGCTCTGTAGACTCCCAGAGGGTAGGGGAAGACTAAGTCACACTTTGTCCTGCCCATGACTACTGTGGGTCCCCATTGCCAGTAGATTTGGCAGCTTTTCACAGTTTTAATCACCTATGACATTTAAACTACTTAATTGCTTTCAATTGGAATCAGGCTTCTGAGCTGATACCCGCAGGAGAATCAACACCGTCTGAGCTACTTCTCTCCAGCTCTTTAAGTCCTGCATTGCAATTTGATAACAGACATTGCTGCCAGAAGAGGTGGCCCTCAGCTCTGCTGGCCCCAAGCTGCTCATGCTGGCACCAGGGTTTGTGAAACCACAGAGCAAACCCAATGGGAGAAGGCAGAGAACTTGGCTGCCTCCCTTAGCTGCTGGGAAACCATAGCATGAACCTAACCCCTGCTGCAGGTCATGTTGTGAACACATCTCCTCTTCGGAACACTGAAATCCTGCAGACTTGAGGTTTGGCAGCTGCTAATGAGACTACCAGCTTGTAGAGAATCAGTGCTCAAGATTTGTGCCAAGTGCCGGGTGAAAGGTGTGAAAGCTCTGCAGACAAGGTGATGATGGTGTATTGCCCTGTCACAGGGCTCAGCATGATCACCATGAGACAGGGACACTTTGATGGTTCACATCCACCCAGCACTTCACTCAGCCTTCTCCCCAGGCAGGCAGACTGCCTTGCTGCTCACTCACCTCGTTTTGTTCTGGTTGGTGTAAACCTTCACTTGGTCAGCCACGCAGAAGAACCTGAAATAAGAAAGATCCTATGTCAGCTGGTGGGGAAAAAAAAGAAAAAAGCAGAACATGGGGAAGGCACAGGATTTCTACTGAGCTGTGGAAAGATAAAAGCAAACGCATGCTGCAGTCAGACCAGTGCAACCAGAGCCCAGGAAGGCTCAAATCAATCCATTCCCCCCCCAGCTTTCCAGGCCTCCCAAGCCCTGAAGCAGGTGATGCGCAGTGGGCACCTGAGCCAGATGTATGCAATGAAATGACCTGTGTTTTATGGAATGGCACAACTTTGGCCTTGAAAGCTGAGACCTGACCTGTCTGGTGGTGGATCCTGAAGCAGGGAGGAAAACTCCCCAGGGCTTTGCTGGTGCAGCACCAGCTGCCATGTGTGACTTAGGGTGCAGATGCTGGTTGAAACACAGACCCAGAGGGAGCGGGAAGGTGTGGGGAGCCTCTCCTGGGGCTCTGTCATCCCTACCCGTGCAAGGAGGCCAAGGGCCCCGCAGACCCCACCTGTGGAAAGAGGCCAGGCGCTCCCGGAGGGAGCGGACAAAGGGCTGGATCCAGTGGTAGCGCAGCACCACACACTGCGAGAGGCTGACGTGGAACTCCTCCATGGCAGCCAGCGAGGAGACGTAGGTGCGAGCACGGGACAGCAGGATCTCCAGCAACTCCAGGAATTCCTCCTGGACGGTGTCTGCGGGGCAGCGCCGTCAGAGCCGGATCCGCGCCGGGACAGAGCTCCTGCCCCCGGCCGGTCCTGCGCGCTCCGGAAGATGGCTTCAGACTGGGGGAGCAAAATACCCGACTCCAGATGTCCAGTTCTTAATAAGGTTGGGAATACATTTTGTGTAAGTGAACAGGGCTGCTCCATGGAAATCCCAATCTCCTCCTCAGGAAAAGGCCCCGTGAATCCCGGCGACCAGCAGCTGACTCAGGACAAAGGGCTAACACAGTTTCCAGGGTGAGGAATGTTGGGGCAGTATTGAATCCCAGCCAAATGGAGTGGCTCATAGGAAGTACAAATGACCTTGAGGAATTAAAACAAGACCAGAAGGGCTTTGAGCCTGAAATCTGGAAACTGGAGGCAGTGTTTGAATGATAATATCTAAATAACCGAGAGGAATTTTGTTACAGTTAGTGCATTAGGGCCAGTGCCAAAATCTGTTTGTAGAAATTCCTTCTAGGATATGGCACAAATTATTTGCAGCAAGCAGGTCATGCTGTTCCAGAGGGCAGAAAGCAGAACAGTAGTCATGCTGTGGTTCTTCCCAGAGAAGAGATGGCAAATGGCTGGAAGCAGCAATACCAGCTAAAACTCCTGATTTAAACTCCTCCAGGCCCCTGGATGCTGAAGTTCCTCTGCACCCAAAGCCAACAATGATCCTTGCTCATTTGCTGAACACATTGGCAGGCAGCAAACAGTGATGACAAGAGGAGCATAGCAGAGCTGTATCCTACAGATACAGACTGAAGCCAGGAGGAAGAGCAGGTGAGCAGCAGCTCCCAGAATTTCAATTGGATTTGTTGTGATGAAGCCCTGGTCACTAAATGAGGAGGAACAGAAAGGGCTGGGAGATTTTCTGGAGGGGAATCAGGAGAAGAGAAACTTAATGGTGCTGATCTTACTCAAGATTACCACCAGGAGAAAAAGATCTCTTCTTTGGGAAAGAGGCACTTTGAAGAAATGTTCCAGGAAGGTCTATGTGAGCTTCTCCCACCGTGCTTGAAAGGAGAGGGATGTTGGCACAGGCTCAGTGAGGGTGACAGAACCAAACAAAATCACTGACAGCAGCACCACAGTTAAATGTTATTTTGCAATTTGTGGAAGGCTCAGTTTGCTTTTCCAAATCACTCCTAAACTTTGGTGTTGGTGCTTAAGAGTGGATGCAAACAACACAGGAAAAACTACTGATTTTAAAAAAGACCAATAAGGGCTACGGCAATTTATAGTTATGAATTTTTTGGCTTGTCAATGCCACTAGCGGCCGGGGAAGGCCCGGAGAGCTGGGAGCCCGGGGAGGCGGGAGCAGGAGCCGACCATGCCGTAGCGGGCCCTGCCCTGGGCTGCTTCTCCAGTTTGAAAGTACTTATGCTTTCCCGTCAGCTCTCCTTACATGGTTGTCGCTTCCCACCTCCCACGGAGGGATGAATTAGGCTGGGAGCCGTGCAGAGCCCTCGGTAAGCCAAGGTTGGTGTTTCTTACTCTTTTCAAGCTTCTCCTCCGCATTAGGCCGGATGGTCTGAGATGCGCCGCGGTTGGGTTCCTCCTGCTGTGGTTAACGTTGCCTGCGGGGGAAGGTGGCGGCTGTGCTGTGCTCAAGTGTTGTATCCCATCCAGCGCGGGTGCTAGGTGTCCTAACTGCAAGCCCTCCCTTCGTGTCGGCAGCCAAGGTGAGCTATGGAGGAGAAAGGGGAGGTCATGGGTACCTGCAGGGCTGCCGTGTGGGGTCTTTGGGCATTTAACTGCCCAAAATTGTGCCGGTGGTATTCAGTGCAGCAATGCAGCATCCCCATAGGCAGAATCATGGTCCAGTGCTGCCTGAGCTGTGGGGCACGGTCTAGTCTCAGCTGAGCACTCTAGGAAGTGAGTTTCTCTGCTGTTCCTTATCACTTAGTTTTAAATGCAACACCTTCCTGGAAGACCAAGGTTTTACTTACCTTGAGCAGGTGATTTGACACAGAAATGGGTTTGCCCTTGTGGGGTTAGGGGCTCATGGAACAGGGGCACTAGCTGCTGGTTCTCACCAAGACCTGGACACTTCCTCTCTTGTGGTGCACTGGCACTGCTGCTATCTGCTGTTCACAGGTGGGTTTTACTCTCCTCTAAGTTGATACCAGGTTTTACTGGACATCTCTAGAAAAACTGGAATTTTTTCAGTGAGCAAAACCCCTGTGATGCTCTGTGGTAAGGACAGACAGGAGTTCTGGTGTAGGTTGTTTGGCTCCAGTGTATTTTATTTTGTGGTTTGGTAGGACGTTCAGCCATTGCTTAAATGCTTCTTTTATCTTCACAGATATTACTGTGCACAATCCCTGGGTTTCTGTGTTTTGTCTGATAGGATAATGTTGAGGGAAAACCTTCCCATGAGCTCTCTGGCTCTTCCTAGTTTTCAAGTTCTGCCCAGAGAGGGGGAAATTGCTTACATACATCCCTTGGGTAATGTGTCCAATGCTCAACCTGCAGAGGAGCAGAGCTGCTTCACATGGGTGTTTTCAGCTGGAGTGGGATCAGGCTGGGATCTGCTCTGATACCTGTAACATCTAACCTTGTAGCTTCTTGATTGCACAGCATTTGGTGTCTCTCAGCCCATGCAGAGAGACCAAGAGAGATCCAGCCACTCGGGATCAGGCTGAGCTGAGGGGACATGGGCAGTTGTGCTGCCTCTCCTGAGAGCACAGCACTGGAACGTCTTGCCTGGCTGTGGCTGGGCAGAGCCCAACCCTTTCTGGGATGAGCACACCTTGTCCCAGGCCCTTTGCAGATCAGCAAGGGGGTTCTGGTTCTGCATAGCTTTCCCACACTGCTTCCTGGAAGCTTTGCAGGGATGCAGGAGAGTTTTTGAAGTGAGCTGGGAGGAAGGTTGACAAGAGTTCCTCATCAAGACCTGACGTGAGATGTCTTCTTCTTTGCAGAGAGAGCTGCTCCCTCGGCTGCCTCCCCTCACCATTTCCAAATGTGAGCACGTTGCAGCCAGCACGGAGAAGGGCCTCTTCTTGTCTTCAAAGCACTTGCTTCCACCTCCTGTTTTTTTTTGTCCAAAAAAGAAAAAGCCAAATCAAACCAGTCCACTAAGAACTCGTGCTGATCCAAGGAGGAGGCTGTAGAGTCTCAGTCACCTCTCTGCTTCCCAAGATCCTGGCTGTGGGCTGGATTTTCTGTCCTCGACTTCAGGGGATCAGCTACGGGATATCAGGATCTTGGATACTTGGAATTTTTGCTATTACTTGAACCCTTTCAAACAAGAAGCTGAAGCTGTCACTGTTAAAATCCTGTTTTTTTTTCCCAAGCATGTCAGAAAGCTGGCAGCAGCAACAGCAGCAACCGCAGCAGCCGCCACCGCAGCACCACGCCGGAGCAGCTGCCCTGCCAGAGCACTCCATCCCACCCAGCACTGCTGAGAACCCCTTGGGCTGTGCTGTCTACGGCATCCTGCTCCAAGCAGACCCCAGCCTGCAGCACCACCAGCATGCCCCTCTCCAGGCTGGAGAGCAGTCCCACAAATGTGGTGTGTGTGGCCACGACCTCACTCACCTCTCCAACCCCCATGAGCACCAGTGCTTGCCAGGCCACGACCGCTCTTTCCAGTGTACCCAGTGCCTGAAGATCTTCCACCAGGCCACTGACCTCCTCGAACACCAGTGCATCCAGGTGGAACAGAAGCCCTTTGTGTGTGGCGTCTGCAAGATGGGCTTCTCCCTCCTGACCTCGCTGGCACAGCACCACAATGTCCACAACGGCAATGCCATGAAGTGCTCCATCTGTGAGAAGACCTACAAGCCTCCTGAGGCAGAGCATTCTCAGCCTCTTGACCCCTCGGAGAAGCCCTATAGCTGCTCCATCTGTCAGAAGACCTTCAAGCACCTCTCAGAGCTGTCCCGGCATGAGCGCATACACACTGGTGAGAAGCCGTACAAGTGCACTCTGTGTGACAAGAGCTTCAGCCAGTCATCCCACCTGGTGCACCACAAGCGGACGCACAGCTCAGAGCGGCCTTACAAGTGCACGGTGTGCGAGAAGACCTTCAAGCACCGCTCCCACCTGGTGCGCCACATGTACGCACACTCCGGGGAGCACCTCTTCAAGTGCAACATCTGTGAGCTGCACTTCAAGGAGTCATCGGAGCTGCTGCAGCACCCCTGCACGCCCAGCGGGGAACGGCCCTTCCGCTGCAGTGAGTGCCAGAAGGCCTTCAAGCGGCCCTCGGACCTGCGGCAGCACGAGCGGACGCACAGTGAGGAGCGGCCCTTCAAGTGTGACCTCTGTCAGATGAGCTTCAAGCAGCAGTATGCGCTCATGCGTCACCGCCGCACACATAAGGCTGAGGAGCCCTTCAAGTGCAACCTATGTGAGAAGGGCTTTGTGCAGCCCTCACACTTGGTGTACCATCAGCATGTGCACGGCATAGAAAACCTCTTCAAGTGCAATGTGTGCCAGAAGGGCTTCAACCAGTCCTCGGAGCTATTGCGGCACAAGTGTGTGCAGAATGCAGAGCGGCCCTTCAAGTGCGCGGTGTGCAACAAGTCCTACAAGCGGGCCTCAGCTCTGCAGAAGCACCAGCTGGCCCACTGTGCTGAGAAGCCGCTCAAGTGCACGCTCTGCGAGAGACGTTTCTTCTCCTCCTCCGAGTTCGTGCAGCACCGCTGCGACCCAGCCCGCGAGAAGCCTCTCAAGTGCCCCGACTGTGAAAAGCGGTTCAAGTACGCCTCGGACCTGCAGCGCCACCGGCGTGTCCACACTGGTGAGAAGCCCTACAAGTGCCATTCCTGCGAGAAGGCCTTCAAGCAGCGCGAGCACCTCAACAAGCACCACAGTGTGCATGCCCGGGAGCAGCAGTACAAGTGCATGTGGTGTGGGGAACGGTTCCTGGACTTGGGCCTGCTGCAGGAGCACAGTGTCCAGCACACAGCTGAGGGCGCCTACCAGGTGGCTGCCTGCTTGCCCTGAGCCTCCCATCCTTTGGTGGCTTTTGGCTAGTGTGTGACACTCTCAAGCCTCAGCCTCCCCTTCCCTCTCTCCTCAGTTGCAGACGGCCTCTGGGGAGCTTTAGGAAAAGGGGAGGTATGGTGGGTGACCTTTCCTCTGGCTGCTGTGGTTCACATGTCGCCTCTAGCGCAGGGGCAACAGATGACATGAAAAACTCGGAAGTGGGA